TGTGGAAAAACTTTAATCACTAGAATGGAAAAATTTTGTTCATTGTGCCACACGTGTTCAACAATTGCGTCAACAGCACTTTGAATGTAGAGTCATCTGGCGATCCCCCCCCCGACCACATCCCGATGGATTTCTGGATCTGGGGTTATCTCGGACCTAAAGTGTACACATCAAATCCACGGCATTTATCAGAATTGAAAGATGCCATAAAACGTGAATATATACAGATCTCTCTAGCGATGTTACCTTCGTGATTATTGTCAATGATTCCCTCTCCCATTACAGTTCACTGGAACTTGGGTACGCTGTAAACTTATAAAATTCCAAAGAAATTTTTCTTTCTCTTCTCTTTTGTTGCCATTAATCTGCTACAATGCTCTGGTTTGCAAATATATTAAGCCTGGAATTTTCGTCATACGTGTATCGTTCCAATGCCATTTCTGGTTTTTTTAACGCGTTCATCAAATTATGCAGGGAAACATTGGATGTTGCTATTCAAAAACTTCGAAATATTTTCACTGTGACTGTAACCGTGACAGCTCTATTATTTTAAATCATTACACTCTCGAGCGCACGCTTTTGAATAACAGTGTCTGAAATTTCATATCGATTGGTTGAACGGATTTCTTCCCGATAGAAATTCATATATCGGAAAGAAATATTTTTGACCACCATGTGTATTTTGCATTTATTGATTTTGTTTGCTTAATACCTTTATTATTACTCGTATTGTTCTATTTTATTCCTTAGTCCTTCATTTTGTACAATAATAAAATCTTTCGATACATTAAATTTTACAGAAATTAATGTTTTAAATTATAAAATAACATAGTTCCTCATTACATTCTCAGTGTTTTAATTTAACGTTTGCTGTCTTGCAAGATTAATGTGGTGTAACTTAAATTTAAGATAATTATTATGATAGGTGTAATTAAATTACGATCGTGAAACGATATAATTAAATTGCGATTAAGCTTTAAAAATGTTTTCGTCCTAACGCAGTAAGGTTTTTATATTAATATTTTTAATTTTCTCACCAAGCCATTTCATATCAGTATTTTTAGTGTTTATTTTCATCAAATTTTATTCATTTTGATGGATACAAATCACATCGCCCAAAATTGAGCAAAAAAAAAAAATTAGGAAGAAGAAAAGTAGTTAAAGTATGTTAACATTTACTATTGAAAACTAATAAGTGATTACTTATATTTATTATTCAAATGTGGGTTTGAAAGAATTTTTTTTGTGCTTTTAAATACAGTATAAATTCCAAATGTGATGAATTAAATAGCCGCCTTTATTAGTGAGTCCTGATGTTTACTCTTAATTGTTTAGTAAATTGCAATATTACGATATAATAGGTGGTTCCAGATATTAATATTTCACATTTTCAAAATTTTCTAAAACATTATCTCTAGTTTATATATTCTTTGACAGTGTATTTTCCATGCTGTCTTTTCTCTGTTGAAGTTATTAGCTGTATTGCAGAATTATCTTAATAAGTGTTCTCTTAAACGAGATGAATGTGGTAAATTTTAAAGGCTTTGGAATTGGAAATTCTTAAAGGATCTTGCGATTAATTTTTAATTTAGCATCTGCATACTAAAAACAAAAACAAAAAAAAATATATTATTTTTTCATCATATAAAGGTAGTTTGAGCTGTTAAGATAAGACTATCTTTTCAGAGATGAGAGGAGAAAGAAGAAAAAGAAATAAAAGCGGATTAAATTCGCTGGTTCCTTTTAATACATATTTCAGCAACAGCAAAGCGTGTTTAAATCCATTTTGATTAATAGATTAATATTTGTAAAAATATTTAAATACTTTTATACTTTAGAAATTTAAGATAAATATTGTTATGTTTTTCTTCTTTTTACGTACGTACGATACGGGTACATGGATTTGAGGTAAATAACGACGACACTTGATGAAGTATCAAAATAGACTTTATTAGCCAGTATTATTCAGGACAGCTCCGATAACACGTTTACAGACATCGAAGAACTACTAAAATTACGCTGAAACAATGAGAGACACAGCCTCCAGGCTATGACGGTGGAGACATCTTCATGGCAAAGCACCAGAATCTCTGCTCGGTGGTTCTCGGAAACTCTACGTACTCTCGAGACTCTTCTACAACTCGCGATGCACTCTACGATACACTAGAGTACAGCTCCCGACTCCTCGGTTCACTCGTTCTCGGAGCTCAACATGCTCTAAGATCAAACTCGACGATGCACTCGCTCACTCGCGATACTCTCGATGACACGCTGACGGTCAACTGGCTACTAACTCCGCACGGACTCGCGATCGACTCTCTAGACGAGACATTAACTCCGCACGGAATTACTCTCCGCGTATCTAGCAGGGTTTATATAGCTTTTGGCTTGTGTTCGAGAAAATTCTGGGCTAAACCAGTAAGAATTCGTTCCAGAAGGGTTCTCCATCCGTTCATGGCATATCGCCAATTTTGTCGCTAAACGGGTGATTTCTCGCCAAATATGACAACCCTGACTTCCCTTGGCATTTTCTGGCAACCCTAAACTTGCTTTGCAGGGAAGCTATCTTACCGAGGCTAGACATTTCTTAACAATTTTTTTACTTAAAAAATATCGCATTTTAACTATATGAACAAACAAATATAATAAACAAACTATACCAATTATATATATATATATATATATTGGCCACATATGCCAATTGGAAATAAAAATGGAATTAAAACTGCCTCGACTGCCAAGTTCTTTAAATACTACGCAATCAAAATTCTTCTTCAATATGGATCTAAGCACGCATCTACAGTGTTCCGTCTTTTTTCCTTGTGCTTTTATTATTTTATTATGACAATTAAGCCGGCAAGGATAGTTTCCTGCAGCCTGAAACCTCAATGGAAAATTTAATTCAGCTCTCCAAATCATCGTTTTGTGATAACTCCAAGATAATGTGAAAGAAGTGAATCATCAAATTGGTTTTTTCAGTGTTTAAAAAATAACAGATCATTCTTCTGCTGTGGTGCAAGTATGTGCGACAGAAAATTATTTGCACTTCTGCTTTTTCAACAGGTCAAAAATTATTACATTCGTGTGAATCTAGCTCAGGAACTAAATTATTTAATGTGTTGCGGATTCAATAGTTTTCATTTCAACTTTGGTTAAAATTTCTGCAATTTGTTTTGAGAAAATCTGAAATTCTTGTTCATTAATGTTTCTAATTTTTCATAATTATGTGTGAGCAAATTAAGTAACGAAATTTAAGCTATTTAAATTATTCATAGGGAAGGGTATTAAGATAAGTTTTTATGTTTTTGAAATTTTGTTGAGAATTTTGAATACGAATTTTATAATTATTCTAAAAAGGAAATATGAAATTATGGTAAATGCATGTTAAAATTATGGGTTATTGTGTGTTAGTATAGTATGATGAGGGTGTACTGGTTCCTTCAACAGAGGCCTGTAATTACCTCTGTACAGTTGTTCCTTTTACCTCTTCATGCAAGATAATGTTGGAGGCTCTCATTTATGAATGCATGTAAAATTTTATATTATTATTATTATTATTATTATATATTTTTATTATGGAATGTATTAGTGCAGTTCTCAAAGGCCAGTTACCTTAATGCGAGGAACGGAGGCCTTTTCAAGTAACTGCCTAGGCACCCTGGGCCACCAGTGCAGAGAATACACTGGTTAGCTCAAGAGGACAGCCCTATTGATGGATATGTTTGTTTAGAAGTATTGCGAGGCTTCCAGTTTGGTAAATCAGAATTGTAAATGGAAAGATGATAAAGGTGAAACCATAAATTCTGAAAATATTAATCCTATATTTATGATGTTAAATTATAATTATCAGTAGTATGAAAATTAATATCATAAATATTATAAGTAATCATTAAGTAACAGTTTATTTTGTGATATTCTGTAATAACAAGAACCTTCCCTGAAGAATTATGATTATGTGAATTCTCAAACAAAAAGACTTTTGCACTGAAATGCTGAAAAATTCAATAGGACTCTAAAAGTTAAAAATTTATTAAAAAAAATTGATCTTTATAAATTATACTTTACAGAACAAAAATTTGATGACTTATGTGTTTTGTTTTTTTTCTTTACATTTGCTAGTGCTTTAACTCTTTCTCTTTAAAAAGGCTTCACTGTCGCTACGCCTTTTTCTTTTTGAAGGGGGGGATATGTAAGATAAAAAATATGAAAGCAAACTTCTAAACTTAATTCACTATAACTTCCATTATTTTCTATTTCATTGAGAACTTCCTCTATCTGTCCTAAAAATAGCGCTTAAGTCTAAAACTGCGTCATTCAAATGATAATGCGATCTTAACCGATAATGCAGATCCCTCTCGACCAATCACCAAATTGCAAACCAAAACTTTTCTCTTCGCGTGCTTCTATCTTTCATAACTACGCACTTCAGCTTTTGCTCGCTACTGTGCTAAGATGTGATTTCGCTGGCTTGCTTTCTATCCCAACAATATCAAAAATGTAAATCTTCTGTGGAAAGGCACGACTAGAGTGCCAAGTGATTGTGGCCACAAATATCAATTGGAAATAAAAATGGAATTAAAACTGCTTCGACTGCCAAGTTCTTTAGATGTTACCAAGTTAGCATTACTACCATACTACGCAATCAAAATCTTCTTCAATATGGGTCTAATCACGCATCTACAGTGTTCCGTCATTTTCCTTGTGCTTTTATTATGACATATATATATATATATATATAAAAATTATACCGATTACTTTTTTCTTGTAACCTCAAATGGGTAAGTTGTAAATGAGAGAAAATAATTATATCCGAAAATTGAAGCTTAATTTCTATCTAATCCCACATACATTCTACTGCTACTTGTTACCGAGAGTGAAAAATATAATTTTGGAAAGTTCCCTTATGCGTCATCAATTGAAATTGTATTCTGAGTTTCTTTGTGCTTAGCTGAATTAACATGACACTTTTTTTCGTTAACGCTATTTTATTTTTCTTCCAGATGGAACCCTGATTCCTGCTAAAGTGGGTTATTTTAAATCGATTCTTCTCGCAGAAAAAAGAAAACAGAAATCTGGAATATCGACCTACAGTTCACCTCAAAAACAGGAAAGAAATCCCATGATTCACGAAAATACCTTGCATGGATGCAAGGAAGTATAAAATGAAACTGGAGAAGTATTTCCTATGAGCCAATCAAGAACACGAGTTGAAAGAGTCAGTCAAAATGGTCTCCAGTGGCACAGAAATTCACTAAGTCCATTATTTTATGGGATATGTAGTTTTAAATCAATAGGAAACACGAGATTTTAGAGTATGATTCAGTCGACCGCTTTTGAAATGGCTATTCTTGCAATCTGACGATTTTGCGTTATTGTACTTCTACATGAACACATGAAATGTTATGGATTTCAAAACGTTCAAATGCTTGGGAGCTATGCTAGAAAAAATAACATGAGGTTTTTTAAGGATTCGTTTATAGCTAGGCTTACATTAATAAATATCAAATGTAAGTAACTGAAGGAAGAATGTATTTTTAAAGATATACTCTCCTTTCTCCTCAGTAAGCTATGAATAAATCACTCGAGACATTAAATCGGAGCCATTCTTTTCTAGTATTTCAATACCTTTTATCATCGTTTAAGAACTGTTGCTTGATGTGCCTTATATGGTCAAGTAATTTTCATATTCCCCGCATTGTTCCTCTTGGCAACAAACTGAAAGCAACACATTTCGTATTTTGTTTGCTTTGCATTTTATGCAACCTCACGAACGCACAAGTCTTTGCAAATGAATGTGATTTATCTAGAATAGATGATGCGTCCAGCGTTGCTATGACCTGCCGCGTGCGGACGTTGCAACACTTGTCTGATGCCAGCAAAACTAATCTGGACGCATCCATATTTCTAAGCATATATTGTGATGATTACAGTTCAGATAACATCATATCTAACGGAACATTTAGCAAGTTTGGTAACGTCGAAGCTTTAAGAATAGAAAACTGCAACATTCCAGCTTTCCCAGATAATGCGTTTTGGGATTTGTATAATCTTGTCAATTTATCGATAAGTTTAAATAAAACAAACTCCAAAATTATTTCCTTCAGGGAAGAGACGTTTGGGAACTTACAAAAACTTCAACGTTTAGAATTAAGCTATAATAATCTCGTAGTGCTACCACCTAATTTATTTTGCAACTTGGAAAACCTGAAAGTTTTAAACCTTACGCACAGTGAACTGGATGATGCACGAAATATAGGACTCGGCTCCATTGAGACCACGCAATGTCTTCCCGAATTGATTGTTTTGGATTTATCGTATAATATACTGAAAAGTATCCCCGATGGCATATTTTCCTCGCTTGTTTCTCTGAAAATACTTTATTTGAATAATAATCAGCTGTCGGAACTTTATCCTTATGCCTTTAGTGGCCTTAGTAGACTACAGAGTTTGGATTTATCTAATAACAGGATCAGCCATCTACCAGAGCAGATATTTCAACAGTCATCTGACATTTTAGAGCTTTATCTTCAAAATAATTCTCTGAGTTCACTAACGCCGAGAGTATTTCAAGGCTTAAGGCAGCTGGTTGGATTAAACTTGAGTTACAATGCCCTCGAAAATGTTATTTCATCAGAAACTCTCGCGGATTTAAGTCGCCTGTTTGTACTGGATTTAAATCACAACCGCTTTCAACTTGTCACGGTGACTAATTTCCATTTAATTAGAAGCCTGCAGATTTTGTACCTCAGTTTCAATTCTGTTCGTAATATTACTGATAATTCCTTCGCTTCTCTGAGAAATCTTCATACCCTGACATTAGCTGGCAATAAGATACGACACATAAGTTCGAATACATTTAGCGGTTTGGAATCTTTAAATTACTTATCTCTCAGCAACAATGATATTGAGAATATTCATCCCCTTGCTTTTGCATCTTGTAAATCAGTTCAAAATTTGAAACTGCGATCGAATAAATTAACAGAGTTCCCTAAGGCATTGAATAGTCTATCATTATTAAAACATCTTGATCTTACCCATAACCGAGTTCATAACATCAGCAATGCAACGTTTCAAGGACTGAAGAATATGGTAAGCTTACACATGTCAAAAAATAAAATTGGAAATATGTCAAAAGGTTGCTTTCAAGACTTAACTTCACTGAAAACACTAGATCTTTCCTATAATAAGATACAATCACTCGGTCACAGCTTATTTGACGATGTTCCTGAATTACGAGTAGCTAAGTTTAACGACAATCATTTGACAGATATAAACGGACTTTTCATGAATCTCCGATTCCTTCATACTTTAAATATCTCTCGGAATAAACTCACATGGTTTGATTATGCTCTTGTACCAACAGATCTTAAAACGTTGGATATTCACGATAACGAAATAGATAGTCTGGGCAACTATTTCGAGCTTGAAAATTTAATGAATCTGAGGAATTTGGATGCATCGCATAATATTATTCGAGAACTACAACCAGAATGTTTGCCTAACAGCTTAGAAGTTGTATCTTTTCGAGTGAACAAAATTTCTGTTATAAGACCTTTCACGTTTATGGAAAAAACCAATTTGTCATTCGTCGACCTGAGGGGCAATGCCATCCGTCATCTTGACATAAATGCTTTTCGTCTTAAAAGTATTCCTTTGAACCACCCGTTGCCGGAATTTCTTCTTTCTAACAACACTTTAACTTGTGACTGTGGTATGGAATGGTTACAGAGGATCAATCATTTTGATGAAAGTCGCCAATATCCTCACATCCTTGATTTGGAAGAGGTCTTGTGCCATGTAACTCTTCCACGGCAAAATACTGTAGTAGCTATGTCTCTCATAAAACCATCAGACTTTTTATGCCGATACCAGATTCATTGCTTTGCTCTTTGCCATTGCTGCGATTTCGATGCTTGTGATTGTGAAATGGTATGCCCGGAAAATTGCACCTGTTATTCCGATCAGACGTGGAATACCAATATGGTAGATTGCAGTCTTCGAGGTTATTCTCACGTACCCCACAGAGTGCCTATGGATGTAACTGATTTATACCTTGATGGTAATGATATGAGCCATGTCGGAAGCCATTCATTTATTGGTAGGAAGAATCTGCGTGCTTTGCATCTGAATAACAGTAATATTCATATTATACGAAACAGAACATTCAATGGGTTGCAGAATCTACTAGTGTTGCACTTGGAAAATAATCACATCACTATAATCGAAGGTCACGAATTCATGAATTTAACAAAGTTGCAAGAACTGTACCTGTCTCACAACCGTTTAAGAACGGTTAAGAATGAATCTTTCAAAAACCTAGTATATCTCAAAATTCTATTCCTAGACCATAATCATATTGTCGATTTTAATATCTGGAATCTCAAATACAATCGAGCACTGACTAAAGTAAAAATTGGACATAATAAATGGAACTGCGAATGCGCTTTTATCGAACGTTTCAGATATTGGTTAACCAAGCATAAATCCATCATTGTAGACGAAGGTAGTGTCCGTTGCTCGTACAATAACTCCACAACCATGCATCTTTTAGAATACAGTAACTCATCCTGTTCGAATTTTAGCGTTACACCATTTCCATCTGCTGAATTTGTTGAAGAATACATGCCTGTGATGATATTGGTGCCCATGTTGCTGCTACTGATCTTAGGTGCCGTATTTTTCTTCTGTAAGTATCGCGACAACATGAAAATGTGGATATATAACAAATATGGTATAAAGCTTTTCGAAAAGAATGATTATCCTGCAGATGGGGAGAAATTGTTTGACGTATTTGTATCTTATTGCAAAAAAGACGAAGCTTTTGTGACTCAAATGGTAGCACCTGAATTGGAGTGCGGATCACCACCTCAAAGATTATGTTTAAGATATCGAGACCTTCCCGTATCGCGTTACATAGCCGAGACGATTTCTGAAGCTGTGGAATGTAGCTTTTGTAGTATTGCTGTGGTATCGGAACAATATCTCAAAAGCGAATGGTGCGTTTTTGAACTAAAGGCATCGCATCATGAGAGCCAGTGTAACAGACGTCATAAAGTCATCATCATCCTTTTGAACAAAGTTGATATGAAGGAACTTGATCCTGATGTCCGAGCTTGTTTCAAGTCTGCTCTAATTGTGCACTGGGGAGACAGAAGATTCTGGGAAAAACTCCGTTATGCTTTGCCTGAAGGCAGAAATCACAGGCACACGAATTGCTCGGATATGAAACTTTCCACAACACTTCGGAGATCATCTCTTTCGAACTCTATAAAACTTGTATAATTGTAAATTATTCTATAATCAATGGATAAAGGAGTTTAAATATCTGCTTGTTGTGTATTTTTCAGCAATGGTGTACAGTTCAGATATTTAAAAAATGATTAAATATATAAATATGTATGGTATATAAGATATGAAAGTGCATTACATAGTACGTAAAAGTGATTTATATCAGAACGATTTATATGTAAAAGGATTTGGAAATTGCACCATTTGCATTCCTGTCTTGAATATGTTCTGTGCAAAATAATGCATTAAAATCTTGTCATAATCTGTAATTCCTTTTTTGCATGTGGTTGTAAATTCCGAAGTGTAAATTTATTGTAATTAAGTTTGAAAGTTCTTTGATATACGTATAAAATGTATGAGTATTTGATCATAATATATTAAATTTTTACATATAATCTGTGTGATGAGAGAAAGTTATAGTTCACAAGTGAAAGGGATTAGTAATGTATATGTTTACAATCAGTTTATCATTTATGTAATTTCGCTTTCGGCTAAATTGTAAATTTATTTAATTTGAACTACATATCTTAAATTTATTTTATGAAATGTCAGCACCGTTTCATGTTGTCAATAAAACTAAAATGGCTCACAGCCTGATAAACCTTAATTTTAAATAACTTAATTTTCAATAAATAAAATAATACCATTAAAAATACATTTTTAATTTCAAAACTTAATTTTAAAATTTTATATATGTCAGTAAAATTTAAATTATTCCATTACGAAATATTTAACTTAGAGCTATAGATACTGATGCTTTGATCTGTGATTTATTTAAAAATAATTTCAATGAAGTATTCTTGTTAAGTTTCATTGATAAATTCGTGTTTATATCTGAAACCTTTGTGTTAAAATGAAAGAAACAATTATCAGTTTATCTGAACATGTCATAGCAAGTTCATGTTATTTATTTTGTTGTAATATCTTTATATAAGTAGATAAAGCTTTAAGATAAAAAACCCTGATTATGTGACTTGTTATTTAAAAATATAAAGTCAAATACCTCTCTGTTTTTTAAGTAAAAAATATTAACTGAAAATTGAATTTATGTATTTTGTTTAACTGGTAAGACACCTGAAAAATTCAAATAGTTGGCTATAATATTTAAGAATATTTTATATATTTTATGTATTTATGTAATATATTAATTTTTTTTTATTTTATGTATTTATGTAATGTAACACATGTTTTTAACATTTCTCAATTACCACTAAAAATACTAAAATGATTTTACATTTCAAACACAAATTTTATTTACATTTCAAACACAAGATCTTCAATAATACTGGAAAATATTGTGAATTTTTCAATAGATCTTGAGAAATGAAAATATTCAATTATGTACAAATTCAACAGAACAAATGACACTACATGTAATATAACAAAATCAAGAAATGTCAAGTTATCCCTCATCTGCATTCTGTAACAAACCTGTCGGATAATTATTTAATTAATCGGAAAATAACTGATGTATAACCGAGCATATATTATTCTTCTGTATTATACATTATTGGGAAAAATATCAATTACAGTAATGTTTAATACAGAGGTTGTTAAAAACCTGTCTTTAAGTATTTAAAAAATATATTCAAGGTCATCTAAAATTATTTCGGAATAGAAATTTGTTCAAATTTATATAATTTATTTTTTATGAGATAAAATGTTTTATTCCATGATTTAGTGTAATAATCTTCATCTTTTAATTTTTAATCTTGTATTCCAATTTAGTTTATATTAATTTGCAATGAATTCCAATTTAGTTTATATTAATTTGCAATGAATTCCAATTTAGTTTATTTTTTTTTAAATGTACCAGCAACTATATTATTAAAAACCAATATTATTTTCTCTAATCCTGTAATCATCCTCTTACAAATTCTCGTAATTTCAACAATACATTTTTAAAAGGAGGCTTACTATAAGCAACTATTATATTTTAAAATAATGTTTTCCATACATTATATATGATGCATATTTTAAATTGCAAAGTATACCCGCTAATTCTGCAAATTTTCGCATGCAATTTCATTGTGAGGTAGGCAATTTTATTTCTTTATTTTAAACTTTAATAAATATTAGTGGTAAAATTTTCATGTAAGTAAATTAAAACGGAATCTAAAAAAGTGTAAATGGTCATTTTAGAAAGACTATAAAAATGTGGAAAGGTTTCAATATTTTATAGAATACTTTTAATAAAAAGTTAAAAATTTATTATTATTTCAGGTTGTGTAAAATATTTGTGATCGTATTAATTAATTTTTATACAGAAATTTTAATAAGAGATTGTGTTATAATTCCAATGGAAGTAAATTAAACATCTAAAATGTCTAAATTCAATATACGGGTCTAGAATTTAATACGGGGGTTATTTCAGACAAGATATGAAAAAAAAATATTCTTCGAATTGAAAGGATGTGAGTTTTTCCAGAATATTTTTGATAAGAAATTAATCAATTGGAATAGTGTCCTCTTGTTTAAAATATCTGTCTTCTTCGTTGACCCATTATTAAATTTAGTAAACCTGGTTGAGTAGCAGAGCTTTCAGATCAAAACACATCTTGTATAGAAAATATTTACGTTATATTAACTACCGAAACATTTATATGATTTTAGAAAATCAATTTAAAATTTCTATGATTTTAGAAAAAAAAAACTAAAGTTGAAATAATGAAATTGCATGCTGAATACTGATACTGATGAGTATATAAATATGAACAGTTACATTTTAAATGTATACAAAATAAAAACTTCAATCGAACATTCTTTGAAAACATTTTTATCTAAAGAAGAGGAATTTGCAATTTTTTCCGAGAGTGTTCTCATTTTTCTTTGTTTCATAATATGTTATTAAAATTTAATTATAGTATTAAAAACGAAAATAAGTTTGAAGTGTGATTTACATTCTGACGATAACTGAATGGTGTACATTCGCTTATTTTCAATTTAATAGGCACAGTATGGTGTATGAAATATGCCAGTGATACAATAAGTAACTATATATTTGATTGTCTTCATGAGTTTGTATGTGTGTTGACTAAATGAAACTTCAAATAATATATGGATCCTATGTATCCGACTATCAAGATTGAGTCAGTGTGATTTTTGTTCCAGATATGTATGAGAAATAAAACTGAATGCATGACATATACATTGTATTGGGCTATTTATTACAGAATGGAGTGAACATATTACTATTTATTGCATAATATTTTACATAATCAAAACCTAGAAAGGCAATGTATCTCACAAAGTGGTTTACTCTTGCAAAAAAATATTACAGCAATAGTACGAACAAAATTCAAATCACAAGCACATTTCAGTAGCAGCTTTTATTTAGTTTTTATTGTACATTTAATAACGTTATGTTTAAACAAAATAGTTTTCTTTGAACAAAATGTTCTTTAATTAAATAAGATTAAAAATACTGCTTTATGACATCTGCAGTTGTACAACAGTCTAAGATGTAATATTGTAATACAAATGACGTATAGCATGTCATCTTAGTTATCAGTGATTCTATCGCTCTGTATATCTGTATAATATTCTTAGCGTTTTAATCACTCATTCATAACATGGGTTTTTATAGCAATAGTCATACTATAGACATACCTTTCAACTTCATAAAAAATGGTATTTACTGACATTGCGAATTTTTAAAAAGTCTAATGACACGTGACAACATAACTGAATATCAAATAAAATAAGAAACATCGATGAAAAAAATGAACATCAATAGATCTATAAACTCAGGGTGTTCCTGGCCACCTTGTAGCGCTCCCAAATTGAAATACGCCGAAGGGCAGGGTATTCGCGGAAATGTGGCAAGTCCATGTCTTCCTTAAGATTGCGTACCGAACAAAGAGCGTCAGGAGCGAATTAGCTAGAGATGCTTACGTAATTTAACTTTTTCATCTGCCCCCTCATTCATTCGGCTATTCCCCAAAATTGGCGTGGAACTGAAAAGAGCCTAGCCCCTCCCCCTAGCACACTGCAGATCTCATCTTACCCAATAGGAGTACTCTTCCACACTGCCATTACTTCTGGATATGTCAGATCTGCTATCTCTTCACGCCTCAATTTGCTCATTGAATTACTATTTTTTGTGAACTTGTACGATGCAATTTTCGACGTTTGAAAAAAGATACCATTACTATACTGGGATAGGCCTTCGCCCAGGAACCAACTATAACTGGACGTTAGTTAACCGAGGAACAATGCGACAGATTTCTCTCTAAATCATTTGGCTACTTCAAGAATCTGTGGAAACAATGATTTATTTCCATATCTGCGAGTTCTTGGAAAATGGATTCCTTGAGGCTGATATTTAAAGGACAAAAGCTCCTTTCTTAGAAAAGAAATGGGCGGCCTTAGTACCGCTAACTCCACAATGGGCAGTATTCCACTGAAGTACAACTGTTTTATCATTATTAGAGCGACTACTAAGAAGATCGAAACAGTAATCGACAGCTGAAGAGTGGGAATCACTCTGTAAGTCAGTAGCTTGAACGGCGGCTCTGAATCTGATAAGAATACCGCATTTAAAAATGTTGCCGGTGACTCTGTATTTGTAGCATAGCTCGGTGGATTGGCAGCAATTTCACCTTCAAGAGCAGTTGCTTATGGGTCAGTGGGTGCGTATAAGGTATTGCGAATGTAGTTGTTTTAATTCTCTCATGCCGCAGAGTCAGAGAACGACTATAATATCTTTAAATTCTGTATTCATGTTAAGAAATGCTAGTGACACTGACTGCCGTACTTCGAGCTCGAATCCTGGAGAACGAAAGCATGTTTTTAAGGGTATAGTGTATATGCATTATGGGGAAACCCAAATTACACGTTGAGCCGAAGGTCTCTCTGTAAGTTGAAAGTAGATCACTGCTCCTTCCCACTCTGGGTTTCAGAGAGTTTCCATTCTCAAAACTGGCGTGGAACTGTGCAGTTGGCCAGATGAGTTCTTACCTGTACTACCATTAATTTAATTCTGGTGTCTCGCCCACTTCCACCTGCATCTATCCAAGTGTGGTCCAGTAAGCTTCTGATTTCCAGAACAAAATGCCGTTTTCTTAAACGTACTATTCTCTTTTTTTTTCCTCCACATTTGCTGAAAATTCGGAATCAAAAAAAAAAAAAAAAAAAAAAAAAAACGCTAAGAATGGTAGCACCTCGAAATTTTTGTCATCCAAGAAATTTTTCTAATGAGCAGCTTAAATTGTATGATGTAAATACCGTCTAATACATACAGAAATACAATTTTTCATTAAATTCGAACTTGTTGTCACTACACAAAATCGAAATTGGAGATATTTATGTGCATTCTATCCTATTCTATCTTCATATATCTATTACTATCCAAAGTAAAATTCATACGAAAGACATTGTTTATGTTAAATATTTGATTTAGTGTAGATATTTGTTAATTATTAAATGGGACTGAAATTCCAGAACATATAATTATGATAATACTTCTAATCAAATATAACAAAATAACACAAATAATGCCTAACTCGAGAGTTGAACTTCAAATTATTAAGAAAGCTAAAAAAATTGACACTTTTGGATGAAAATCAACATTTTGAAAAGTGAACGGTGAAATTAAAATGAGTATAGAAGCATTTCAGTCAGTTACATGTGTAAATACAGATTAAAAAAATCTCTGACAAATTCTTATAAAATTTACAGATTAAAATCAATCTGTTATTGACTGTTTTCAGTACATGATACTACAGGAAATACGCATACAAATCTCTGAATAATAATATTGATGATGAAAGGAACTGGGGTACCCTTCTTTTATGAGGATTGGATTCAGAATTGTATTTGGCGTGTGTGTGTATACACACAATGCATACATACATAGATACAATGTATACATGCATATATACATGCATACATGAACAGTTATAATCATCCATCCATACATACACTCATATGTTTCTGAATCCGACTCGACAGCAGAAGAGTAGCGGAACTGGTGTTTATTTGGTTTAATATGATTTCAAAATTGAACTGATTTTTAATGATTAAGGCACATAATGACAGATAATGCAATTAAAAATACTCATAGTATGCCTGAAATTTGCAGATGTCTCACTAGGGTTTATATAAACTTTCTTATGCATATATTGTGGTTTTGTTTACATTGGCTAATTGATGGTGAAGATAAAATGTGCAATATAGTTACAGTTAAGAGCAAAGTTTCAACATTTCAGCTCGTATAGAAAATAATCCTTTTGTTTTATCGACTTATATCCGTAACACATTTCACTAAGTTATGTCATTATAGAACAAAATTGAATGGGGGATCCTTTTTTAAAAGACATCGTACACCTTCGAGCAATTTGGACGTCATCGGTAGAAAATGGGTGTGCAAAAGAAGATAGGTATTATTATTGCTAAAAAGGAGACATGAAGAAAACCACAAAATTGAAAAAAGAAGAAATAAGGGAAATAACTAAAAATGCTTTCTGAAAAACAAGTTAAACTAAAGCGTACAGGGGAATGAGAAACGATACAAAAATATTTTAATTTAAGGTAAATGTCTTGGAGCTTCTGATTTGTTATAAAAACATTGAAAATCTATCAAATCTAAGTGACAAATTAAAGACGATGAAAAGAAAAAAAAAAGAGAGAATAAATATATATCCATATAGTATGAATTAGGATATTGCATTTATTTAACGGGACTACTTCTAAAATTAGTATTTTAAATACATCTGAAGAGTAATAAAAGATATTAATCATCAAGAGTCAAAATAAGTTGTTCACGCTATGCATCCTATAACGCCAACTATTCGAACAACTGTTATCATAACTATGTAAGAATTAGTTTTTCCTTTCGAACTTGTAATCTATTAAAATATGCTACATACTGCAATGTTACAACATAAGCAACAGAAATTTGTTCTAATAGCCTATCTGCCATTATTTATTCATTACTTTGCTTGCTGTGGTTTTCCTAGTCATTACCTAAAGGTCGATCGAGAAGCAGATTTGGGTTGAATTCGTTTTCAGTTCCCCACACATCTTTCCATAAGAGCAAAGTAAAATTCTTTTACGACTTATTGTTGCACTGTGAGATTTATTGCTATCTCGGGTGGGATCCAACTGCGCGAATGAAAATCCTAACTCCATCCTGCTATAGTCCAACTGCGCTTCTTTCCCCCGTTGCCTACAGGGTTACAATTTAACTTTACGAATCCAATTGTAGCCAAGAGGAAAATGAAAATAAAGAAGTAGTATTACATATCGACAATCAGAAGAACAAGTAAAGAATATCTAACAAGCCGGCTAATTACTTGAATAACAGTAATAAATGGGAATGCTAACAAAGAAAATAAAATGTTATTAACATACATATTAGCATTACAAACAGCTTTCATTAATTACAATATTAGAGCAAAGAGTATTATAATAATATCATAAATTAAATAATTATAAAGCATACCAATTATATTTTTTATAAATTGCATCAATAATAGTCAAGATGTCTGATCTAAACTGGGAAATTTAAGACAGTTCACTGGCGTGCAAAATATTATTCCGAATCGAAGTGTGTTAAAGTGTGCTAGAAATATTTTTCGTTAACTAAAGTAATCATGTAAATGTTGGCGAAACTAATAGTTAAATTAAAAAAAGCTTAGCATGAAATCTATTACAACAACATTACTATGCGTTTGGAACACTGACGTATAAATTGTAAATAAATTATTATGCTAAGAAGTTTTTTCTAAAATTTATCTAGAAGAAAAGAATTAGACAAAGAGTACTGAATTAATATAATGAATCACAATGCAAGAAACATACATTACGGCAGATTCTTCATTATTTAGTTTCTTTAAATATAATATATGGCGATAACATTTAGTAGCAACAGCTTGAAAAGTGAACCAACGCAGAAAGTGAAACGACGCAAAATGGTGTTTTGAGACTAAAAGCCTTTTGGGTTTAACGTCCCTTTGGGCTAAAGTCTTTCAACTATTATCAAACAGACAAAACTCGAAAATTAAATGGACAATGAAATTAAAACATTCAAGAACCTGACTCGGAACAGGGAGCTTACTAAAGCTATGTTCAATAAATGTGGGAAGTAGACAAGATACACAGGAAGGGTATACGAAACCCTTTATTTTTCACTCTTTACAATGATTT